AAGCTCGGCTTTGTCCACCATCTCGGCAGAATCAGGGGCTTTTTGGCACTGATGACAATTCTCCATCGAGCCGACCTCAATTTCCATGAGGTATCATTAAAACTTTCGACACGGGTGCTTTCCCAACAACCGTTCTAAATGCTTTCTATCAGGTGTTATAGCGCGTCAGAACCGAAGCGCATTTCAATAGTGCAAAGAGGACGCATTTATTGGTTGTTTAGTATGTGATAGTGACGTCAAATTATCTTGTGCGGCAGTCGGTGGATCACACCTCAATGAGGCCGGTGTGGATCCGGCCATCTTCACAAAGTTCATCAACCACATGAGCAATGAGGTGTCAGTCTGTTTGATTGCCTTAAGAAGTTTCGCGAGCTCCAGGAGCTGCGCAATGATGCCGGTCGGTGAAAGAAGTTGTCACGGCAACAATAGCTTGATAAAACTGCCGACTGGGATACTCACGAGCGGTAATTAGGCTTTTCATTTCACTCACCCGTTTATGCTAGCAGAAAATTGTTCAGCATATTTGAACAGAGCCAATATATGCTCCGAAGCGCTCTTACTATCTTCTATTTTGGTGGACAGCCTTACATTCCATAGTTTTAGCTCCAGAAGGACTCTTTCTTACTTAGTTTTGTTAAATAATCTAACCTCTGGGTGTATTTTTCTTTTTTACTTTCCTCTGTGCAAACGAATTCAAGGTATACGCGAATAGAGTAGCTTCTCAATTCCTTTCTGCTTTTACTCCAAACGCAATTTTTCGGCAACTTTAAGGTATATATGAAAAAAGGTAGCTCCTCACCTCCCTTCTATTTTCACTCCAAACACGACTTCGTCGGTTTTTGGAATAGATTACATACGGCCGCAAAAACCAAATTCAATGACATAGGGTTGTTGATGTTGTCTTGTAAACTAATGAAAAAACTTAACACCCAAACCTTTTGATGATGTTAAATACAGTGAAGTTTGCTGTGTGTCGGCTCTCTAAAAAGGCTGTGTGGTGGAAGCGCTAGGACAACACGGGGGCCAGATTAAGTTATGACAGGTACTATTTGGGTTGTGCTCCCACAAAAAATGCCGAATGTGAGGGGAGTGGGGAGAAGAGATCGTTGGTGGCACGCGCAGGTGCAGACCCAGGCACCATTCATCTATGGCTTCTATAGCACTCCCACTCCGTGAAATTTGAGTGAGGTATGACGGCT